CACGTATTCTGGGGCGAGGGTCAGAGACGATTTAATTACAGCGGCTCTCGAGAGCCACTTTAATTGATGTGCCTACAGCATCTCACGTATTTAGCATCCTGCACTTCAGAATGCTCCCTGCTAGATGGCCCTTGCTGCCATTTTGAAGCACAGTGATGCTGAATACATGTAATGGTGAGGTGGCTAGAGCAGTGGTTCTCAACCTTTGGTACCTTACATGCCCCCTGCCAATCAACACGGCAAAAGTGAAACTGGAAGTCCCACTGTGGCATTTCTGATTTTGCTGCCGTGAGCCAAGTCCCACTTTTTTGACCACAGCCTGGGGAAAAGCAGCCTGTGCAGGGCCTCCCTCCTTATCCCCCAGCACACTGATGCTGGGGAGTGAAAGCCCTGGCGCACCGGATGCGGCAGGAGGGGCGGCAGCCAGAACTTCCGTCCCGAGCAGGCAAAGACCAAAATGCAGCACCCGTGTACCCGCTGCCCGTGTTTCACGTACCCCAGGGGTATGCGTACCACAGGTTGAGAAACACTGGGGTAGAGCATGGTAATTGGCATGCTCCACCAGACTCAGTTAATTGAGTCTGCTCTGTCACGTGCTAATTAACTCTCATTGGTGCAGGCATAGGGCATTGAGCTTGGTTGGAGCAGCCCCAGGCTGACCTCCCCTGCCAGCCAGGGTTGTTCCAACCCAGCTCAATGTGCTGTGGTCTGGGTGTACATGTAACCAGAAAACCCAGGAGCTTCCTGGGAGCAATAAACTCTGGAGCTTATTGCTATGCATTAATGGCACATGTAGATGCGCCCAGAGTATATTAAATTTAGTGAGAATTTTGAGTTTCAGCCTTTCCTTAAATAGTACCTTAAAAATCAAGCTGGTTTGGAACTTCCATGGTGCTTGCCCTCCTTGATTGCTATTTACCCTCCCTCTTTATGCCACCAAGGGACTTATCTTCTCTTGTCACTGAGTGTCTTTGGATCTGGGCTTGATCCCATTGCAGTTACTGATGTTAATGAGAAGAGACTTGGGAATCTAAAAACCTAAGTTCAGCAAAGATTCTATCTCTTTTCAAAAGCCATTCATCTTTTAATGTTTATGAGCAGTAAACTTACCTCACTGAGATAAAGCTACCGAGTTTTTAACTCACTTCGGCATAAAGCATCTGACCTGGAATCTGTACTACTTTGTATGTATCATATTACATAGCCTGGGACACAACTGAATAGGTGTAGGGATTAATGCCTTTCAAAGGTATGAGTTGTCTTCTACCAGGTGAATGGGTGATCTTAAGGCAAGGTGCCCCAATTCTCAGTGGTTCAGTTCCTCCATCTGTAAAATGGAGATTGGGTTTGAAGCTTAATTCCTTAACATTCCTAACAAGTGAGATACCACTGAGGTGCAAATTAGTTACCATGCTTATATATATTTTACAGGTTGATTTAATCCTTCTCCTGCTTACTATGATGTTCGTTATTATGGCGGTGCTTCTATAATAGTTATTCTGGTGGTGCTGTGCAAGCTCCATCTTTTATTTCCTGCTTTCATATACTTGCTGCCTCCTTTCCCTCTTGTCCTACTGTCCCTGCTGCCATTTTGTGATTTCCTAGTTTTACCCGTCATGGCCTTTGAATTACTACCTTGAACTTTTCCTTCCTTCTCAGCTGTCCCTTGTCCTTGCATTCCATTGAAACTGTCTCCTCCTTCCTTAATCATAGAAAGTGAACTAACAAATCTTTTCTTGCAGCCTGCTGCAAAACCATTCCATGAATTTAAGGCCTTGTTCTTCCTCTGTTGCTAAATTGGAGAGGGCCTGTTATGGAAAAGCTTGAGAACTACTACAGTAGTACTGCTATTATGTTGTAGCATCTAGAAGCTCCAGCCATAGTAAATCAATGTACTTTACATGCGTTAGTATTTAGTATGAGTGGGATTAAGGTATGTAATTCAGAGCATGCCACCATTGGCTGCTGTTAAATGAACAGAAGTGTATCATCCTGTCTTTAAAGTGATGAGATGCTGCTGCCTAAATATTGACTTCAGTCTATAGGAATCAGGTTTTCTATCCCTGTTAAGCTGAATTTCAGGAAAACTCTTCATTTACAAGTACATTGAACAACAGCAATCTGCTTTGCTTTCTAAGGATGAAATGCAGACTCCCTCCTTCCCTTCAAGCCATGGTGGTTTAGGAGGGGATAGAATCCAGACCCATCTCAATCTACAAGAAGGCCACGGAACTCCTTGCCACCATTTGCATGGAGGTATTGTCCCACTAAATGTATGTGGTCCCTCTCCCACCTTCTTCCAGTATCCCCATCTGCTGGTGCCAAGCCCCAATCTGAAGTGCTGTGTGTGTAGAACTTTCTTTTGTGCGGCTTTTGCCTTTCCTCAGCTTCTCCTCCCCATGTTTGTGGTGTGAAGTTATCCCTCTTCCCTCAACATAGTCCTATTACTGTTGGTGCAGGAGATCTCCTGTGCAACCTCCCATCCTACCTCTGTGACTTTACTCTGTTTCACTACAGATCTCAGCTGTGAGTTGTTCCAGTGCCTCCAAAGCCCTTTCTCCTCCTCAAATGTTGAGTCTCTCTCTATGGAGCGCTTTGGTTGTACTGTTTACACGAAATGTGTTTTTATAAAATAAATCTGGATTATGAATTGAATAGCACTATGTCCACCTTATGTCCACGCAGAACACAGTAGACTCTAAGACTATTCAAACCACAGCTCCCAAGTCATAGGTGACCCCTCACAGAAAATACTTATTTTTTCCTGCTTGCACTGGCTTTGCCTTGAATAAGGCAACACAACCAGCTATGTATGACAGTTGTTTTTCTTTTGAATTGGAGTGTGTTTGCCACAAGTCACCTACAGTGCGCATGTAGTTGTCTGCTATTTGGTGAAAACTGACTGGTCCTGTGTCTCCTTGGGTGGTCTGGACTAAGTTTATCTTCCTTGTATGTTGCCCAGTCCTCATCACTTCTTTCCCTTGGCACCTTCCCCATTGCGCTGACTTCAAGCTTCTGTATCGTATATTGGTAACAAAATCAGAAAGCTGTACTTTACCATGCTGTGCACTAAATCCTTCACTGAGAAGGCTGTTTATCTCACTTTTTCTCTCCAACTCCCTGTCTTCTGTCTCGTACCTGTCTTTTACTATCTTATTGCTGATATTAGCATGTCATTTCCTTTGGGCAGGGATTGTTTTATCTATATTATGAGGACACTTATGATTTTTGGAGTGCAGCAAGGAGTACTACAATGAACAGACTGCTGTATTGTCACCTACACAGTGTGAAGCTCATATTGATGGTTACTTAGATTAATCTTTCATTACATAGGCAAAATTATAGTCAGTTTAGTGTAAAAACGGAACCAATTGTCAGGATGAAATGGGGACAAAGGTTGCTGCTTAGATACACTCTCATTCCACTTCCTAAAAGGTCTCTCAATGAAAATGTAAGCAAGATATTCAAAAAAAATTCTAATTTCCCTATGGCCTTTAAAACCATTTTCAACTTTTCTTAGTTTGCATTATTTTCATGTTGTAATATGTGTGGGGGAATCAAGTCCAAGTTAAAAACTTCTTATGGCAAACCAGCAAATAGGCAGAAGGTTAGATCTAGGGTTAAAAAAAATGATTAAATCTGAAGGACTAAGTGCATATATATTTTTCCTGATTATAATCTCACATTTATAATATACCAATTATTCAGTTTGTTTTTTTTAATGTGGCCCAGAACACTTCTGCTCTCAACAGGGAGGTGCAACATATTAGATCTTCTAGGATTGTAGCTCTTGGCCGCCAGATTTAATATAAATAGCAGCAATCCAGCATGTTTTCTCTCTATGGAAACAGTGGATGCTTTGGTGTCAGGCAACCATACATTCAGCTGTTCTCTTGAGAGCTCTGCAGGGTATTTGATTTTTTTTTTGTTCCATTCTTAATAAATGTATCAGAAAACAAAAAAAGTAACCATCCCAAAACAGCCATTCTGGGTTTTTTCTTCATTTTTTTTTCTTCTGCTTTAATTTGCACAAGGAGTTTCCTTCTAGGCATATGCTGCTCAGTTATTTTAATGTATTTTTAAAAAAATCCTTTTCCATCAGTAAATAAAGTGGGTTGTGACTTGTGTTTTGAGTTTTAATAGCACTTCAGCATTCATATCCAAGTTCCAATTATGGTTTTAAAATGGAGCAATTTGCTCTGTCTTTGAAAGATTGATGGCGCTTCTAGTCAATAAAGTTCCTGTCTGGTGATGAGCCTTTTGTGGGCAAACCCCCATTAGTCAGTCAGACATCTCACTGGTACTGCAGTCAGACTATGGAGAATTTGCTGAAAATCTGGACCTAGAACACCTTTTGTGCAAACAAAGGTGCATTATAGTGAGAGAGATCTCAGGCAGTAGCACGATGAGAAAAGGCTAGGCTTGCTGAAGAATTGGACAGTGCTGCAACATGCTAATTCTCAGGATTTGTATTTCAAGTCTTGTCATTTTTGGTCTTTTTAAGAAGTCCCACATACAGAATTTTGTTTTGATAGGGAAAAAAATCTTACCACTAATTTAAAAGGGTAGTTAGATTTCTAGTCTTCATAGTTGCAGAGAAAAACTTGAAAACATAAATGCCTTCAAAAACTAGAGGGCAAATAAACTGAACCTAAACACTTACCCTTTGGGTTTTTTTTTAACCTTTTCTGTTTTGGGCATCTGACTCGTGTATTTTGAACTCTTGCAGTCACGGCGGTTTTTGAACTCGTGCAGTCACAACATTACAGTTGCTTAGAAATTCCTCAGATTGGCCTAGATTCTATATGGGAGTTGCAAAGAACAATGCTTGAAGTGATATGGGTAATTTGAAATTGAAATATTTCCATCAATTCTCAAACTCAGCTTTTGATCAATGCAGTTTTCATCAAAACCGAATTTAACTCACCAGTGTTTTGTTCTGAGAAGTCTTCTGCCTTAAATTTACAGAAGCAACTAGACTAATATATGTATTTTTCCAGGTGAAAGAAGTAGAAGAAACTATAGAAGAGATGCTGATAAGGCTGGATGAATTCTGTGGCATGACTGATATGGTATGTGCTTAGTTTATAACTCTTATTCACCCATGTTGCCACTGTTATCTGCCCTCTCCAGTAGGTTTCTCTGGAGGCCATATTGTTAGTGATTTAGAAACCATACAGCTCAAGCAGGGCAGCAGTCAGCAGTGGGGAGTGGAAAAACACACGCGTGCACACGCGCATGTGCGCACACATACACGCACACGCACGCACACACGCACGCACGCACGCACGCACGCACGCACGCACGCACACACACACACACACACACACCAGTATTTCCTGAGGCAGCCATCTTGATAACTCTTCCCTCCCCTGAGATAGTTTTATTCCACAGAGCAGTGATGGCTGAGCCACAAGGTGGCACTACCGTGCACTAATATTTAAGGCCTGGGGATGGAGTTTGTGAAAGTAAAATATACTGCTCCATGCAGTTTGCTGTAGAAGCATCTACAAGATTTCCTACTGTGCAGCTGGCTGCTACTGTTTGTACTGTGAAAGTGGCACGCTCAAATTTCTTGATGTTGTTGGTTCCTTGTCCTAGTTCTTATCATTATTTCCCGTCCCAGTTGTCTAGAAACAATGAAATAATCTCTAACAAAGCGGTGGCCATAGATTTGAGCGCTGGGTACTTCAGGTGAATTGTTTTTCTTCATAAATTCTCCTTTACGTAGGAGGAGCTTTGCAGGATGTTCCTTGATAACTTCATGCTCCTGTGTCACAACAACTGGATCAGTTCTAGGTAGCAGTGCCAGACTGGCTGACATGGGGAGGAGTGATACCATTCATTACTATGGTTCTGTTGTTTGCATTTGATAGCACCTAAAGGCATTCTCAGGGATTAAAGCCATATGGTGCTAGGTGCTGTACAAGCACACAACAAACCTGATGCATCTCCTAAGAGCTTGCAGTCCATGTATATGATGAAAGATAACAAAGGTAGGTACAACAGATGGGGAGCATAAGACAATGAAACGATAAGATAGACAGCGGTCTCAGTACCAGCAATCCCAACCACTGTCATTGCCTAATCTTTTGTGATGAACAAGCAGAAGAATGTTGGACCAAAACAAAACCGTAATGTTGCTTTGCTGCTTTGTGCCTTTTGTTTGGTGCATTGTATTTGGATGGAGTGTACACACACATACACGTTTTAATTTTTTTCAGAAAATTCTTTCAAAGATAGAAATGGTCAAATCAGTCAGGGAAGCCCATCTGCATTGTTCATCTTCCTTACCCAACTAGGGACAGGACATTCATTCATTGAATATTTAGTAGTATGGACCATATGCAGAATGAGAGATTCTCTCCCTTCCTATTTGTTAATGTGCAGAATGCCTCTTCTCTTCTTCTCCTTCATATGTACTGACCTCTGGCTGCTTAACCTCTCCATCCAGGAAGGGCACAGACCATCTGCAGGTGCTTCCTCAGCCTGATGAAAGGTGTTTGTGCTCAAAAGCTCGCTAAGAAGAATTTTTCCAGTGATTTAATTTGCCCTAATAAAAGATACCAGATTTACCCAAAGAACCTTGTCTTCTCTTCCCCCTCACTCACATTCCTGCTCTCTACCGAACTTCACTGCTACATACCACACTGTGACAGCTATAGCAACTTCTTACATGAGGTTGCAAAGTTCAAAAAGTATTGAATGTGCCTTTAAGAGTCTTGTAATAAAATTTAGCATTTGGAAACCAAGAGAACTACCATTACCAGTTTACCAGCCAACAAATCCTCTGTGGACCACATCTTAAAAGGAGCTCCATTTGTAGGCTGTTTCGGGAATTATGCAACATAAATGGAGAGGGGCATGAAAATGGCATTTTCATTCAAAGATGTTCTGTGATTTAAAAAAAATAGCTACAGGTAACAGGAGGGATTTGGAGAGTCAGAACTACTTAGGCAGTTGCTATGTTGAGGTTCGCTACTTTATTTATACAGTGACTTTTCTTGATGTGAAAGGTTTCTGACTAACAGGCTCACAGAATGCAGTCTTAAGCTCTCTGCAGAACAGATGCCAACAGCAGCCCTGTGAGGAAGCTTGCATTACTCTGCCCACATCTCACCACTGTCCTGGAGAGAATGATATTGTTGAGTACAAAAGGGTATTTCTGTCTCCAGGCCATTCAGTCCTTTGTCTCCACATTGTGGTGACCTGCTTTAGTGGTAGATTTCTTGAAGGGAGAGTGACTGTCAAAGCCTCTTCACTGAGACTTATCAGAAGCTCCTTGCAAACTGGGTACAGAGCCAGGAGAGAATCGTAGCCAATTGCTAGTCCTTTCTCCTGTTCTGAGCACAGCTTTGTTAGGGGCAGTTGTTATTTGTAGGGAGGAAGCATTGCTGCTTCCAGAGGAAGTGACTTATGGTGGTAAGAACCAAAAGCTTGGCTCTTAGAAGTTTGACAAGGCTTTTAATGACTTACAAAGGACAAATGATTGCCTTGCAAGTATGGTTCAGGATTAATGGTCATCAAGTACTTCTATTTCCATACTACTTTTGATAAAAATAGCTGTAAAGTAGTATATGCAACTCCAAGCCCTGAGTCTATTTTTATGCATCCTGGCACATATTTGTCAGCTTTACATGCTTTAACCTGGCATGTTTGGTTTTTGGAAAATGTAGCTTGTTATGACCCTGGTGAGAAGGCACTTAGACTTCAGTGCCCAAAAGCACATTAAGATCTTTTATGTATAATGAGGATTAGTTAAGGACTTAGCCATTCACTGGTCAACACAAGTGGCTAAACTTGGTGGATCTATTGTGCATGATGGTGATTTTTTCCTCCATTTTCCATTAAGCTTACCAAAGAAACAATCCATCTTTCTTATGGATTTGTTTTCAGGGGAGTGGGGGGTGTTTCATTAAGAGACTATGTTCATTGACTCCTTTTACCAGCCAGTCCAGGAGTATACCTTACTTTCTTGGCTGTGACCAGTAGAGGATCATAGTTTGCTCAGGTGGATCCAGCAAGCTTTCAAGCCATCTTTGAGACTTCCATTCCACCAACCCATTCTACAACAAATACTAACCTAGTTTTTGTGCTTCATTTCTGCTGTACCCATGAAAACATTTTTCCACGACTTGTGGGCTATGAATAATTAGCTTGTATACAGATTATTGACCTTATTTGGGAACATCAAAGTGCTGTGCTCAGTGTGCTATTTTGTGCCTTGCTATGCAATACCTGCATTGGCAGGTTCCTTGCAGCAGCACAGTCTCTGAATCCGATAAATATCATGCAATGCTTGGATTAATTCCAGCATCTGTACTTAATAATTTGCTCTTTTGTTTATGCTAACAAGAGACGAGAGGGACCTTGTTTGTTACTCTCAGGTGTTCTATTCAAGCATTTACATGAAGGGGGATCTGACTTTTCTCCTTTGAGCATGCAGCTTTTCTTCATTAATAAATACTCTTGATACACACAGTCTTTGATATCAAACTAGGAAGAGGTTTGGATGTCCAGTGATGAATCAGTGCTTCTAATTTATGATCATAGCATTTGTGTTTTGGCAGGTAGAGTTCTTTACAGAAACCGAACTCTTCTATCTGGAGAGTATGTAACATTGGTGGAGGCTTAAGCACCCTACTTGCACTTTTAACTGGTATTTAGAGGAAGTGTTTCCAAGTGATAGGGATATTTGGTGTCTGTCTCTGTCAGTATTTATGCCAGCTGGGGAGTTGGTTTTTTTTGTGATACCTCTGAGCGTTCCTGAGGACAGGTACTCAGACCCAGTAAGTACATTTTGTGTAAGTTGCTGCTCAGCCACTCAGATGTGGTTAATAAACTGTACTCATTACAAAGCTGAGATACAAATCAATGATGTCAGTGAAATGTCAGTATCCTGCATGCAATCTTCTCATTTTGCTGTCCCCATTTTCATTGTTGGGCATGGTGGGGGTCTTGGAGGCTCCTCCTCTTGAAGCAAAGCTCCACAGCTTAGTCAAATTGAACGTTCGGAACCTCATACGGCTTGCTGCTATGCGGTTTCCAGTACTTTAGCTGGCTTGTTCAGAACTAGTGTGGGTATCTCTGCAGAACTCCGCATAGTGTTGTTAGTACATACCTTTTTTCTGGGAAGCCTATTTTTATATGCTCTGTTTAACTCTTTGTACACAGCCATGTCCATTTTACATACTCTGTTCTTAACAATATGTACATACTCCAAGATTTGGAGATCAGGCTTAGGTTTGGAGGAGATATTAGTACTGCCTTAGCTTATGCACAACTGAGAGCAGTTTTGTCTCTCAGTGGGTGCAGCTGTTGATTTCATTATATTTGCTGTAGATCCTAAGTTTCCTTTTGGGTTCTTTGACAAGGCTGTTTACCCGACATGCCATCAGTATTACTCACTGTCTTCCATGTGAGGATGTTGCCTCTTCACTTTTAGTCAGTAACTGGAAAGAATCCTTCTCAGGAGCTTTTCATGGAGGAAGAGTCACATTTTGTTCAAACTTCATATAAATTTCTGTGTTCACCACAATCCTATAGATGCAGTGTCATACGCAGTTATGTTATCTTATCGGTTATTAGTTCAGTATTACATTATGATCAGCAATGCACACTTACCTTATATGTTGATCAAATTGGATATAGGACACACCCTTTAAATATCAAGAAATGCCTGGCAGTTCTAATTGTGTGTGTCCAGCTGACATACTAACAAATTGTGCATATTGGGTACTTTTCAAAGTTTTTGGCCTCTGTGTTTCTTATTGAAAGACACTGCTAAAGTTGGATACATTTTATTTGCTCATTTTACTTGCCTTCATTTTTTAATCATCACAAGTTTGATTTTGAACTAAGCATATTTTAATAAGCATATTGGACACACAGCTATGAATTCAGAATATGTGCACAGTATGCATGTGTGGTGTGATGTTGCTTATGAATTGGTAAGGTGACCTGCAGTTGGCTGGTTTTGCCTCATTGTCTGCAATTACATGATCACTATGAATGCAGATCAAGTGTGCAATTTTAGGTGTGTAACTGAGATTTTGAGCCTATAGTTGGAGGTAGGGTTAAGTTCTGTCTAGAGTACTGTTGGGCAGGTTGGTCATATGTGTGTTCTTAACTTTAAAAGTCTAGATGATTAGGGCCCTTGTTATAGCCCCATAAGAGAGAGGATCTTATGTCTTTTAATGTCAGACAAATAAATTAGTCTCTGGAACAACCAGACTTTGGATACAATCTCTCACTTCGATTTGTTATTGCAATCGTGTGTTGATTCTGTTGTTAACACAACAATTTAACTTATTAAATATTAATTTTTAAATAAATAATATAGCAAAATCTGTTTGTGTCTCACTTTAACTGTAGCATGGGCTCTGGGTTTAAGAATCTATTCTTATCATGGCTCTTACTTAACTAATGCTGCTCAAACGCCACTGCAGGCCTTTGGTTCTAAAGCTTTAACCTTAAGGCAGAAGATTCTTCCATGCCAAGATACCTCAGTACATCCCAGGATACGATTTTGCTGTATACACAACTGCCTTTCTTGCAACCTTTATGCCATGTCTAGCCTTGCGCTTTAAGTCTCCATTTGTACTCTGTTTTCACATGCAACTTGCAAGTTCAAACTTTTCTATCTTTCCAGTCAACATAGCACAGCCTGGGAATACAGGGGTTTTTTTCCTATGGAGCAGCTGCACTGGTACTATCATCTAGCATTCAGTTACATCTTCAAGAAGGTAAAGTAAAATAAATTGTGGAAAGAGGTCATTCATTTGGTTTGCTTATGTGGAGTTTCCAGACTAGTCATGCTTTCTCTGGCTGGTGAGAGGTTACTACACCAAGAGAGATACTTCCCTTCTTTGTCATGTGCTGACTCCTTTTGAACTCTTCTGTTGCTGTGGTTCTGCAGACTGCTGCAGAATGACTCTTCTGGATTCATATTTGCATATAATTTCCTTTTATCACAGACTGCTTGCTGGAAAATCTTCTCTCCTGCATCTTGTAATGGTGCTTTGCTTTTGCCTTCAAAGCAAGACCATTTAGATTTGTTCCATGGCTAGTTTGACCTTGTTGTGGTATACTTAGTCTGAATAACTTCTTCCTTGTTTTGGCTATATCTACAAACTGTGTTTGTATTTACTGAAGTTATCTAGAAGTCAAGATTAGTCTTTCCCGAGCCTCTTTTTAGATCATCACCAGCAAAAACATAGAATGCCCCCTTATCTTAGGCATATTCAGGGTCAATTTTCAATCCTATTTAAGCTAAATATTTATTTCCCCTGCCCCAAATTTGTCATTAGTTCTTTCTTTGTACATACTGTGTACTGGAGTGTTCTGCCAGCTGCTGACCAGAAAGAACACTAATAAAATAACACCCAGACTCATCCATTTTATTTTTTCATTGTATATTTTGTATTTAACAAAGATTCTTTTCTCTAAATCTAGGAAATGAGCCATTTTTTGTGAGGGAATCCTACTGTCGGGGCTGGTTTTTAGTCAGATAAAATCTGCACAACACGTTTCTATCCTAAATGTGTGTACACATAAAGTTATGTAACTGTGCACACACCTTGTGCAGACCCAGCGCTAAGATCACTTTCTGCAGAAATGATCTTATCCATGCAAATGGAAGTCTTGCTACTAGTAGACAAATGGAAGTTGCCTGTAAAATGGAGGACTTGCTTACACACAAAAGTTGTACCACTTTATCCCAATATAATTTTACAACTCCTAGGATAGATGGAGTAAAATCATTACAAAAGTGCTCCATTTCCACATCGTTGCAGTTGAAATGTCCCAAGGCAACTCCACTCAGTTCCAAGAGAAAATGTTCTCTGGATTCAGCCTCTTCCAGGGCAAAACCTGTGCTGGAAAAGGCCTCAGAGGCATGAATATCTGAGCTCTAAGGTAACAAGGTTATTTTAACAGTGGGCAGTACTACCACAGTCCACAGCTGGACTAAGCCCTCCTGTGTACTCCACCCCCATTAGGCCCAGTAACATTTTTTACATTAAACGGGCACATCTGCTTGTTCTGTTCTTTGGTTCCTGGGTAGCTACTGCACTTGATTTATCAAATCAAATTGTCCAGCTGAGTGGGGTTTTTTTATTTAATTTTATCTTGAAATCAAGGCTCAAGAATTTCTTGATCTGCCATATTTTCTTAAAACAGGCCTCTCTTCTACTGCACTCAAATTAAGCCAGTTTGGAGAGGACCTCCACTCCTTGGTTCCTTTGCTGTTTCTGTTCTGCTGCTTTTCCCAACATTAACAATTTAGGAGGGGAGGAGACAGCAGAAGCAGAGCAGCACTAATTACAGCTTCTTCCCGGTTACATTCTTTCTGGAAGGACTCCCAATCTTTCTCATGACAAAATCCATTCTAGCACCGAGAATGGAGTTGTCTGCAGTGATACCTTTAAATGAAACTTCCATCATGTATTTAATAATATGCTGCCACCTGTATAGTTCTCCACGCTGTAATGGCCCAGTTCTACAATGTTTGCTCAGGCAAACCTGCCCTTGATGACAATGGAGGGCTGCTCTTGAGTAAGGTCAGAGCATCAGGTCTTTAATTAGCATAATAGTACAAGTAATTTGCTGCAGTGCAAAATACTGGTTATTTATTTTCTAATATACTGTGTGTTGTTTGGAAGCCATCACACACTACCCTTCGAAAGTAAAGAGCAGGAGGAATAGTTTCTCCCCTTGAAGAGTGTTTCCCAACTCCCGCTTGATCTGTATTTTTATTTTATGCTTCCATTGCACTCATGGTCCCAAAGTGGGAGGACAGGAACAGTACCTGTCTCAGTCCTATCAAACTAATCACTGGCTGTTTATACAGAAACAGAGTAATAATTAGCTGCTGCTAAAAATGGTGCTTAGTGGAGTTCCAAATGAGGATTAGACGGGGAGATCAAGAGTAGCTCCAAATAACAAAAATGTAACTGGGAAAAAACACCATCCTGCTTCAAGAAGTTGCAGAAGTCGAAGCTAAAATTGACAGGAGTTAGGAAGGAACTCATCCCCTGAGCAGGTATGGGATAATTGTTCATGATGGAGATTATTGGCCTTTCAAAGGACCTGATGCTGGCCATAGCTATGGACAAGATACTAGGCTAGATACACCATGGGTCTAATCCAGGATGACAGTCTCTCTGACTGTGCTCCAGTTTCTTGTCTGCACTACAAATCAAATTGCGTTAGTGAAGTTAGTGAAACATTTTTGCCTTTGTTATCAGACTTGGTAACTCCTAAGAATGATATATTTTTTCACAATCCAGGGCAGCTAATCGCTATAGGCTAGTTGGCTAAACTTAAACCCTTATCAAAAGCTGATAGAAATTATTGTATCCGATATGAACCAAAAGTGAGGAGGATGGAAGGGAAACAGTTTTTATTTTTTAGTTATCATGACCTGTTTTTTCTTAAAGTGTTGCACAAGAGACAGAAGAAATAATCTTGAGATCTGGAAGAATTTGTGAATTGAGGCAATTGCAATATAGTGCCTAAGTCCAGGGAGGGGAGTGAGAGCTTGGAGTCAGGATCTCTGGGATTCCCTGAATAATAGGGCTAAGCGAAGCTTTGGTCCCTGATTCAATTCAGCAGAGATTTGACTTGATTCAGTGGCTGAATCTCTGAATCCGAATCGAATCAGGAGACCCTTTAATCTCTCTGAATCGAATTGGAACCCTCTGAGATTCAACTATTCGAACGTAGACACAGCTTTAAATGTTTTTTCTACAAACCTCAAGGTACCAGGCAGCTCATAAGTGCTGCAACGGTGGGGCGGATAGAGAATCCCACAGGAGTGCAGAGGGCTCCCCAGCATGCTCGACAGCAGACCCAGAAGTACTTCCAGTCCACTTCTCGGTTTGCCATCAAGCATGTGTGCCCTCCCCCTCCTTCCCCCCCCACGCTCCTGTGGGATGTTCCATCCACCCCACCATCACAGCATTCATGAGTCATGCCTGCTACCTTAAGGTATGTAGAAAAAACATTTAAAGCTGTGTCTATGGCCAAATCACTGATTCTCTAAATCAGCATCGAATCTTCAGATTCAGCCGAATCTAATCGGGGCAGTGATCCGAATCAGTGAATCGAATCACTGTCCCTGATTCGGGCCAAATCTGAATCAGAATCAAATACAGCCTGTTTTGCACACCCCTGCTGAATAACTTAAGAAAGTTGCTCAATGTACCTGCCTTGATTTTTCCTATTTGTATCACAAAAGCTATTTCACAAAGCTGCATTGTGATTTGCTTCATTGCTGCTTGTGTTTTGAAGTGCTCAGGTAGGAGATATATTTATCCCAATTAAGCTTTCTGATGAGTGATGAGAAATATTTTTTTTTCTGTGCAGATTAGAAGTGATACATCCCAGATCCTGGATGAGTCCATTCCACTCGTTAAAGCCAAAGTGAGGGAAATGAACAACATCTACACCAAAATTGATAAGCTGGAGGTTTGTTGGTTACATTATGAATTTGAATTCCTGGGGTGTTGTTTGTTTGTTTGTTTGTTTGTTTTTTAAAAGGATGCGTTTGAGGTTTCACTCCCAGAATTGTGGAGCACTTGCCTGTTTGCAACAGTTTGTTCCCTTAGCTTGTTTTTAAGCCCATGGGACAACTGCCTAATGTTCAGCACACATCTAAATGTTCACAGGATTGCAGCCTAAGCAAGTATATTTCTAGTGGACTCCTCCTTTCTAATAATAAGAAGTTAACAGCATTCATAATGATCAGGGGTCTGTGACTTATAGGGGCATTATCCCACAGTGTTTATTGTTTGGCTTCCTTTTATTTATCTGTTTATTTTAAGAGGGTTATGTCTTCTGTGCACTGTTAGGCATATCCATTTCAGCCTGGTGATAACAGTCTTATGTAAGAATGTAAAAGATAGCTCTGCATTCCCTTCTTATATATCTCTTCTAGTGCTTGCTTGATCCTGAATGAGGGAAGCCAGTATGACTCACTTAGATGGTGCCCTCACTATATTTAGTGAGCAGTGTATTAAAATTTGTGTGTCAGCTAAGGGCAAGGTTGCCTCCGGGATGAATGTAATTAAAACATGACAAGATAAATCATATAATGTTTAATATCACTTTTAACTGATTCAGAGAAGTGGAAGAAGCTAAATGTTTATGGCATCAATTCCAGATGGGCAGTTCTCAAGCTTCAAGTCCAGCTGTGTGCAAAGTAGCAAATAACTTCCTCCAGCTGAGGTTTAGCTCCATGGGAGGACCATGGCAACTGATTTATTTGCATTGAAAGGGATATATTCCAAAGTAACCTTCCTGTAGTGTACAATTCTGTGCTTTGCCCTTTTATAAAGTCTTTCATCCAGGCAACTCTGTATTTTACACTTTAGATGGAGATCTCTGAAGTAGGTTGGTATTTTAATTTCTCAGATGGAGTGACTGGGACACAGAGTTTAAGGCTAAAATTATCAAAATAAAGTCCAAAATTATGGCTTGGGCACCTAGCTTGACTAATTTTCAGCAGTGTGTTGGGTTCCCTGCACTTTTGAAAACCAGAGAAGGGTCTACCATTGACTTAAAATGGTATTTTAAAAAAGGTGAATGGAGAGTGATGCGCCAATATCTCACTGATTTTTCTGGGAGGCTGGTATCTGACTCTTTTGCACTTCTGAAAATTCCACCTTACATCTATTTCAGTTTCTATCTTTGAAAATCTTGGGGAAGATAAATTACTTAGAATGATGAGGAAGTTATTGGGAGTGCCCCTGTCTTCTACTAAATGAGGGTATTCTTATAGATTCATAGACATTAGGGCTGAAAGGGACCTTGAAGACCATCAAGTCCAGCCCCCTGCCCCAGGGGCAGGAAGTCAGCTAAGGTCAAAGGAACCCAGCAAGATAAGTATCCACACATTTCTTTATATTTTCCTGTCTCATTTTTGGTTTTAACTGAATTTTTATGTTGATTTTGTTTTTTAAATAGCATAGTGTCTGGAGAGGCAAGGATTTTTGTGAGTGATATTAGACCCTGAACAAGGTGCCTTATACCCAAAAAGTTTGTCTGAAACTCTCCTAACCATGGAACTGGTCCAATAAAAGATATCACCCATAAAAATCCTCGCTTCTTGCACATTTCTTGGACCATCATGGCTTAGTGTTACTGTTTTTTGCTAGCTTGTAGCCAGCTTGAGGCCACAGTGTTTATTTCTTAATTAATAAGAATTAAGAAATTCTCTAAAATATTTTTCAGGCTTAGTAGATTATTTAACACTGGTACTCTAAAGATGACTAGCAAATTTACACCTAAAAGACACTAGTGCTGTCCTGATTTTACTTGGTTCTACAGGAAATAGAAAATGGATAATGTTTTCATTTTGGCATATGAGGGTTACACATTATCACCAATATTTAATATTCTTCAGACTGAATTTACCCTCAGTGACAGAGTTGGCTAATAACTTTGCTCTCAGGTGTTTGTATGGCTATTGTGGTGGGCAGAATGTGGTCCTGTTGCTGGAATTAAAATAACAATTCTGTTGGTGATACAAAAGCAGAAAACAGAATCTATCTTTCTCCTATAGCTGTGCAGGCTCAGCAGGGCTACCAGAGCAAAAAATAGCAGAACTCAATTTATGTCACTAAAGTGAGCAGAACCAACTCTAAATACACTCAGGGTATTGGCCTGTGGAATAAGAAAATGCCATTTATACAAACTTTCTTTATAGAATGGAACTATTTCTCAGAGCCCTGATTCAACAGAGCACTGAAGCATGTGCTTAACTCTAAGTACAGGACAAATTCCACTCACTTTAAGTGTCCTTGGTAGTCCAAGTGAAGCTAAGCATTTTAAGCATAAAAGTAGCCTTCAGTTAGAAAATAAGAAATGAATCATTTGAGCTGGTTTAAACTTTTTTTATAAATTTGTTCCAAAGACAAGGTAATTTGGAATGTGAGAGAGACTCCTTTCTCTGGCATCAGGGAAACAGGTTTCCCTTTAATAATGCTGCAGTTTTGCTCGGAGGCTTTTTTTTTGGCATATCAAAGCAGGTTAATGCCTCACATTGATTAAAATTGATTAAATACCAGTCTGCTCCCTAACATTACCCACTATAATGGCACTAATCTGAGAGCACAAGATTGAATTGGCAATTTGAGCAGTAGTTAATGTTTTAATTACAATTTAAGTTTAAAGCTTATCATCCATGGAAACTTCCAAAAAAAGAAAATTAACTTGGACTATCAAGAGCAGAGAAGCGAAAGGGAAGACAGTTGTTTAGTAGTTAAAGGAGAAAAAGAGAGACGTCTGGATTTTAATCGTGGTTTTACCACTGATGCACTTTCTGACCCCAGGTGATTATCCTACCTGCGCTTCCCTGCCTCTAAAATGGGTTAATACTTGCCCCAAAGGGAGTGTATGAAACTTAATTGTTTAACACCGCATTTTATAAAAGTACCAACTATAGTTCAAGACTAGGAAACTTGCTCAATTTTTGTATCTCTTCCTGTTCTAACTTCTGCCAAAACTAGGAGGGCTGTGTATTTTAGCCCTCTTATAATGCATGCTAAACAACCCTCTTGATCAGAGTTGTACCCTTGGACTCTCTCTGTAGATGACTGAGTGTAGCTCCCTTCTTAAATGTGTCTCCAGTTGTGTTACTAGATAAAGCTGTTGCTGCTCTTTTCCTAGAAGAGTAACATTCATGGCCACAGTCACTGTTGGGGACCCCATTTGCACTGGGTTTTAGACAAACCTAAAGAGCTTTTAACTTTAAACTGTTCCATTAATTTTGCCTCACAGCAGTAGTGAGTGTAGGGAAGAGTGTTGTAGCTGAATTTAGTTTTAGTGATTGCTCTTTGGGATCAAATTATTTCCAAAATCCTATTCTAATTGTTGTCTTGTACCCTGACTCAGTGGGATGGTCAGTTGATAGGTGGAGAGTGATACTTTATTTTCTTTGTTTTCAGTGGTAGGGAAAAAAAAGTTGTATATGTGAGTGTCACTTGACTACAGGTAAGAAAGAGGTCTTCTCATCATATAAATTAAAACAGGATTTTAATAACCTGACTTGCAGGTAAAAGCTGGTTGTGTCATTTTTAGACAGCATATGAGCAACATTGTGCTCTTGAAGTGTGTGGAAAATCTGTCCCTAATTTTTTTTCTCTCTAGTCAGTTCCTCTGAATGGCTATAGGTGGAGTCCACACTTGAAAACACATTCCTGGGAATACTGATGCTAGTAATAGCTTATTCTGATTTCTTGCTAATGCTGTTTCTTGAACTGACTGTCTGTAATGAGGGAGGTGTTGAAACACAAAGCAGATGTGTTAGTTCTCATTAGATGTTTCCCACTGCCCCACAGGCATTTGTTAAAATGGTTGGACACCACGTTTCCTTCCTAGAAGAACAAGTGCTTGAAGCAGAGAAGACCCATGGCAACTTTCCTCACTCTGTTCGCAAACTACTTCAGTCTGCCACTATCCCCATTTTTAAAAATGTAAGTATTTGAAAGGTTTTTGTAGCTGTCAGAAATGCCCTTTCCTCCACCTTTCCCACTGGACCTGAAAGCCTTTGATGTTAGTAGGGAATGCTGCAAATATAAAAAGGGAATGTAACTAACTTTTGCAATAGAAATAAGGAAAATATTTATCTTTGTAGTGAAATGGTCTAACTGCTCTTTACTACCTTTTCAAAGTCATTGTGCGGTGGTGCTGTGGTAGTGTTAAATTGCAGAGATGTCTATTTCAGAGATGGATAAAAAAACCATTGCTCTGTGTGTGTGTTGGGTGTGGGGGGAGGTGTACAAGCGTTTAGGTGGCAGTGTAATCTATATGTCATCCTGGAATGAAAGGTGCTCTGTAAGCATAAGTTGTTTTTGACTATTTAGTCAATCTTCATATTGCAGTTTTATGACAGCTTGTGTTGCAATTACATTCTCTCTGGGGACCAGCACTAGAAGGGGATGAGATGCAATCACTTTGCCAGTGAGTTTTGAATGTTAAGACTTGGGAATCCTGAGCTCCATTCCAGGCTCAGGAGGGAAAGTGCTTTACGAGGCAAAGAGTCTTTCCCCTCACCACATCTTATCCCTTCTGTCCCAGTCTTCACCAAGTCTGTCTCTGTGCCAGCCCTATCCATTGTGGGAATAGTGAGTACACAGTCTGGTCAGTATATAAGACTGGTATGGGAATGGAATGTAATGGTGCAGTCTTTGGAGGATTTAGCTGTCAAACTTTGGGTATCTCCATACTGTTTGTGTGAACTATGATTTTTTTTTGTGTTAAAATTCATGAATTGGCCAAATTTGGTCACGCTTTCACAAGAACATTTAAGGCCACATCTTTGGCCATAGGACAAGCCTTTGCAACTTTCAACCACCAGCTCTGAAGTATGGACAGACTAGAACTCCTCTAGCTAGTTGGAAGAATTTTAACACTGAACAGATTATACGTTTCTTTGAAGTAGCTGAACTGTTTTTACTGAAACGTCCCAAAAAATCAGCCTGAAAAGTTTTGGTGCAAATTGTTAAAATTTGTTAGAATTTTAAGGAATAGAAAATAGGATCTAATTCTGGACCCTAATGACAACAACCTAAGTGCCTGTAAAATGATGTACTTCTGCCAGAAGCATGCAGGCAAGAACAAGGACTATCATACTATAATGATGTGCTGTCAGTGGTTCTGGTTTGTGCATCTCCAGAATGTAAACTTTCACAGAGTACTCTGCTTTCCAGTTTAAGCCCCATTTGATACCCAGCATTGTCCCTCAAAAGGCTCTTTATCTCCTTCCTTAGACCTGTTGTTCTTCTTCCTCCAGTACTTGCATAACTCTCCTGATCACCATCATCCTCGTGAGTGTCATGATGTAGAGACCCAGCAGCTCTGCTAATCCTCTCTGCTGACAGTCACGTTCCACTGAATGACAAATTTGCACCTCCTGGGATTATCACTTCCATAAAATCCTCAAATGATACTTGAACTCAGCAGCATCCTAAATGGCTGAGCACCTTCAGGAATGGGGAAAGTAGAAGCCACGATCTGTTTTGGCATCCTGTAAGTTGGGCAGGTGTTGGAGGCAGGTCTAACATATTTCACCGGTTCTGAAATGGCTGGCTGCCCAAATTCGTGCCAGCCCAGGAAGCACTAGAGACAGGGGATGCAGTGGCTGCATTTCTCCTAAGAAAAATGAGGCTTGTTCATTTTTTTCTAGGCAGGAATAGTGCTGTTGCACACACAAGGAAAATATGACGTAATAGAACACCAGAAAATCTACTTTAGATACTGAATGTAGACTTTCTGGGATCCAATCTAATGCTTTAATCATAGGATCACCCTCCTTCAGAAATAAGGACCAATGGCCAGATTGAAGCTGAAGGACAGGAGTAACAGCTAGACAATGAGAACTTGTACCTGAGTTCTCTGAAGGAATGGCAGTTTAAATTCTTGCTGTTACAGAGCTTAAGAACCCTGTGGGTGTGTCACTGGCCCTGCTTAACAGTTAAGCATCTCCATCCCTATCTGCTGAAAAGCACTGCAAGGACAGACAGAGCTCTAGTCATGCAGTTAGGAACAGAAAGTGTGTGTTTGCAAACTACCATTGTTACTATTTTTCAGGCTTTATTATAATCCTTCTCACTGGGCAGGTTGAATGTAGAAGCAGCTTCTTTATTTTTGCTATATTAACCTTCAAAATAACTGAGGCTGTTCATCTGTGTACCGAAGTAGTTGTTTGCAGTATTGTAATTCCATTGACTTTTCAGAATTACTAATGCAGGAATCAGCTATACTGAGCCAAGAGTTAAAAATTTTATAGTGGAGTATTTTGTTGACATAGATTTCAGTCCTCGATGTGTGGGCATCTACGAGAATAGTCTGTCTTACAATTTTATTCAAAATGCAGTTCAGTTGAATCCATTTGTTCTTCCTCTTGTCCCATATTATGTGAGTGTATGTATACTCTCTAGTGCTCTATCTTGCTCAGAGTATAGGATATATTTTTGCTATGGTTTCAGAAAAGGCTGAAATTCTCCCAAAATTTATGGCATTGTCTTATTTGAGCAGTGCCATGAGTTTTCTTTGTGTTTTACATTCCTCCCTTCTCCTGCTCCTTTAAATTACCTATTACTTTTAAATTCTCAGTAGGTCTTCATTCAGGAATTTATCGAATGCATATTTGCAGACAACTCTGTAAATGGTTTTATACCAAACAATTTATAAAGATACATAGCTGTGCAAAATTGAGCGGTTTCAGAATATAGTAGCCCATGAGGGAATTATCTTTGAAGTTATAGAACAAAGGAAATGTGTTTTCCCATAAAGTTTTCTCCCAGAAGGAAAGTTTCGAGCCCTGGTGACCTCTAAAGGTGCCAACACCAGCAGGTAAATTAAAAGGATCCAACACTTACTTTATTTTAAAGTCTCATGATCTTCAAGCCAACATCATGATATTGGACACTTAATTCATGGTTTCTGGGGATCTGACTCATAATTATTTATTTATTTTACTGGTCTGGATTAGCAAAACTGGAAACCTTTTCAACTGTATGATACTCTTAATATCTTGACTGGCCTACTTTTGTATCAGTGTGACGGTTACAGTTTTGGTACAAAAAAAGATTCATGCCCCTGTCTTCCTGTTCAGCATGTGGAAGCTAGGATGGAAGTAGTTCTGGAAAGATATAAAAGGGAGGTAAAAGCTATTAGCCATAATTTATATCTTATGCAATTTCTTGCCATTTGCACTTTAGAAAACAAAATCTTTTAAATTGAAAGTTTAAAATTTGGCCCCAAATTTTGTAAAACAATTGTTGAAAAGATACAAAAAAACCCCAGTCAAAATATCCATAATCTCTGTTAAATTCTATGGAGATATATGCTTTTTTTAAGCAAACAATAAAACTTCCCCTTCTGTATTTTCAATTTAAATATAGCAGCCGGGTATCTGAAAGTGAAGCCAACTGTTTATTAAATAATTGAAAACAGCTTTTTTAGTTTTCCTGGTCAAATCTGAGACATGCCAAAAGGGAAAATTAAAAACAGTGCCTCCTTCAGGATTTTTTGTCCATCCAAAAGAAAAAAAAGAAGGAAAATAGTCATAAGCCTGTTTTTGAAAAAATATCTTTTTAGATCACTTCTCATAATAATGTAAATAAACATGTTTATTTACTCATGATTTCTTTTTAACTTAAATAGAAAAAGATTTCTTTTTTCCCCCCTTACTCCCAGCATGACCAAAACATCATTAGTATATTTAGCTTTGTGTTGCACTATCAAGTAGTAGGTACATGTTCCTGGAATAATCATGAATTAATGCTGTCTCATTTTCTTTGAAATAACTTTCAAGTTAATATTAAGGTGTATTAATTTCAAGTGCCAGGAGCTTGGTAATTATTGATGATGATCTTCCTTTTTATGAATTTTCAGAATTTTTCATTAGATTCAGTAAGATAGAAAAAGACTGTTTCCTTTCCACTAATATTGTAATGTTATCTCTACTGTAGCAGCTGATTATCTTGGTTTTCATTCCCTTGCCTAGGCTGAGGTGCTTGCTACCCTTTCCTGACACTGAGGAGCAATGCTGTTTTTCTCAGTGGTGCTGACTGGGAAGTTGGCTGGCCCAGGGAATTGATAATGGGATGCCAAGTTGTGCCGTTGTGCTGCGTCATGAGTTCAGTTATTGTGGTAGTAACTACAAGTCATTGTTTTGATGTGATCTGAGTACCTGAGATAGAGATCCAAGAGGTGCAATTCTTATTGTGGTTGTCTATGTACAATGGATTGATGAGTCCAGTCCAGATTCTGTCTGGCACTCTCCCAAGAGGCCAGGCTGAATCTCTGGATTTGCCCTTTAGAACAGAGGCCAAGGCTCAAGTGGACCAAGAGACTGAATGCTGTTCTCTGTATTGGAAGCAGGGTTTTGCTTAACAGAGAACATCTTTGCCAAGTTCTTTAGTTGAATAAGTATTTATGTTTTTTTCCATTTGCTTTTTGCTGTTAGGCAGAGGAATAAGAATTGCTTCTCAGGCATTGGTCATGTCATAATCATTGCAGATCATCTTTAAAATGTAATCTCAGAGTGCATGTTCTGTGTATGTCAGGATCACATTTGCATCGTCTTTTCTATTGCATACTTAAGACTTCATAACAAGAAGCATAGCCTCTTGCTTAAACCAGGGAGTTGGGAGACATTGGTTCGATTTCTGCTTTTGCTGCAGACACTCGGAACAAATCACTTCACCCCTTTGTGCCCTACGTTACGCTCACACAGATGAGGGTGATGGTACTGCCTTCATAGGATGTTGCTTAATATTTGTAAAGCATGATAAGAGAGAAAATGAGGCCTGGATTTTCATAACTAAGAGCCCGAGGCTAAGCTTCAGTGTCCATGTTTAGGTACCTGCTTAATTTTTAAAGTGCCAGCTGTTACTGACCCCTCTGGAAGCTGTTGGTTGCTTGGCAGTTTGAAAATCATCTACATGCCTAAATATGGAAGAGTTTAGCTTTTAGGTTTCTTGTTTTGAAAATCCTAACTTTAAAGGCTTTGTCAACTACTGTTGCAAAATCCAGACACTGTCATATAACAAATGAATAAAAACTGATAAAAAAGAGCTTAGTCTACAGACAGATACTGCCTAGGTTAGCACCTTGCTTTCTTCTGCATTGCTTAACTTGCTCTTAAACTATAATCGCATCTCCCCCAAGAAAGGCTTGAGCTCCTGGCTCCATATGTAGAGACTGATAAAAAAGCACCTTTCTATAAGCAGAAATGATCTGTGCCAGAAAGTGGAAACCCAACCTCTGCTTGTAGTGAGCTCCTCCTGTACAGCTTGAGGTCATTGAATCTGTTCATTAATATTGTTGAGGTTTAAACAGGCTTTCCAGGGAATGGTTTACTAGGCTTTGATGCTAATTTTTGAGGGACAGAAAAAAAATCTTGTTTTTTAAATCTCAGTAAAAAATGTTGTTCTGTGCAGAATTAAGTTAGAGTTAGCTGCAATGGCAGAAAAGAGACATTAACTGACTCCAGGGAAAGCAAGAAGTGAATGCCCAACCTCTTTCCAAGGCTGCAGCTTTGGGGGATGCAGCAAGCTGCTTGTACTATTGATTAAACATTTGCATGTTATACATTCTGCTCTGCACATGCGTGCCTTCTGGGGTGGGGGGGAGTAATTCCTTGATCTGTATCAGATTCCCTTTCTCCATGCAGTTACATGTGTTTCTACCCTCCATCTAAGTCTTCGTTAGGTAGGTTATATGCACTGTACTTTCTAAAACCACGCATAAAAAGTACTTACCTAGCACTTGCCTCTGTAAAGATGGATCAGGCCCTGACTCATGAAACCTGCGCTGCCCTAGTTACTTGAAAGAACAAAACCAGACTGCAGTATCTTCAGACCTAGATGCCCTCAGGCCAGCAGAACAGCATGTTGAGAAAAGGTGCTGTTAAGTTGGTCTCTTAACAGCATGGCACAACTAGACTTTGCCCTGTTTGTCCCATTTCCTTCCTATGACAATGTAATCATTTATATTTCTAGTGCTAATCAACACACTCTCATCTTGAGTTGGAACGACTGTCATTTTTCTCTTCTACAAATTTAATTATTTTGCCCTTATTTTCTAGGTCTTGGATTTCCTTGATTAATTTGTGCTCTACCCTGGAGCCAGCTCCATCATGGGTCAGATTTTGTTGAGAAACAGAACCTTGCTGCAAATTCCATTTGAGATTTGTGACCCTAATGTATTGGGTTATAGTCCACTGAGAGAACCGCTTCCTTACCAGCCTGAGTTGTGGTGAACTTGTACAGAAACTTAGTTGTACCATATTTCCTTTGTTTTTTCTTCCCACTATGGTGCCCTCTTCCAATTACTTCTATAACTATTGCATTTTATAGTGGAGTGTTCTCAGAAAATCATGCAAAGAAACTGTAGTCTCTACCTGACAAAGGCACTGTTTTCAGCATGACCGGTATGTCTGACTGTGCATAACCATGGAGGTGCACAAAAATGTGACCTTTGAACTGCTTTGGTGTACATTTCTAGCTTTTAAAACAATGTTGTTCATGCTATAGTGTAGTGCATAACAGGCCCCATTGAGATCAGGGCTCTATACTGCTAGCCACCATACTAGTAACAGATCTAGATAGAAACATATAGCAACAGTCCCTGCCTCTAGGATCTTACAGTGTAAACAGGCTAGACAAAACAGGGTGGGAGAATGAAGGGAAATTGGGGCATAAAGGGAATTTACTCAGGCACTGAGGCACAGGGAGAAAAAGCAACTTGCCCAAACCAGAATATCTATGGCATAACCTGCAGTTAAACTTATCACCCAAGTCCTAGTGCTGCAGTTACAAGACAATCCCACCACCACACTTCTTGTCTGTTTTGCCTTCATAATGTGCTAAATATGTTGCACTTTTCATTTGAGGCTGTCTCATAGTTAACAAGTGGTGAATAACCTGAACAAAAGAGATATGTGAAGCAGGTAAAATTCTTCCCCTTTTATAAACAGATGAATTGTAAATTAGTGGCAGAGCCAAGAATTAAAATCTCAACACCAGGTATTCCACTTCCTGTAATTTCTCTATTACAATTGGACATGAACATGACAGGAAGGAAAGTTGAAATGGAGCTTCTAGTTTTATTTGATACTAACTTATAACTCGTTTTCATGTTGTTGGATCATAACATTATTTTGAAGTGATGCACAAACAGAAATGACCTTTCTTATAAATCAGATTACTTTCTACAAGTGGTTTCTGGAAGTGTATTTTAGGTTAGGAAGAATTACATACAATGCATCTCCAGTAAAATAAGATCCTAATCCTGTGCAAACACTCTCAAATGAAAGTAATTTTGGGTGTATATATGTATGTGTGTGACATTACTTAGTGAATTATTTTCTGCAGAAACAGAGCCTAAATAAGAGCTCTTACAGCAGGAATTGATTTGTATTGTTTTTTTAATAAAATATTTTAACCATCAAACAGTACATAAGTGCAGATGTTGCATCTACTATACCTATCATTTACAGCTTGGCCTCTTTAAAGAAGGTAATTTGCGTGCTTTATATTCAGAAAGGATCCATTATATATTGTAATAAATGATAACCCTTACAAAATAACTTCTCCATACACAAAAATAACCATCAAATCTGTAAAAAATATGCCTATATAAGGGACAACAAGGACAAGATCAAAAAAGCAAAGAATGAGAGGAAGTTGTTCTGTCACGTCCAAAGTTTCTTGTATTCTAGGATAAGAAAAGCGACTAAGTCAATAGAAGGGTGATATAATGTCTACCCAGGTACTTTCTGGAGAATGTTGACTTCATAGTTTTGCTCCTAGGAAAGCTGAAATCTAACTTTAGCCCTGCGGCAGGGTCTGGTTTATGGAGTTTATTACAACCTTCCTGTCTCCCTCTCCCCCAGCTTCTCACAGATGTCCAATTACCTCCCCTCACACTATTTCCTCCATCTCCAGTGGCTTAGTGCTGCCACTTAAACATTTTTTACTTGTTTTGGGCAGACAGCACCTTTTAAAGGCATTTTTAATTCTTGTTTCTGACTCTCAGTATTTGTTTGTACCTTGTCACTTTACCTTTTTTGGGGAGCCAGAGGACAAGGAGGATGGACACCTGGATTAAGAAAACAGTTGTGTTCACATGTGTGTGGTTATAAGATGTACAGAGAGTAGGTGTCCATAACAAAGAGCAAATAATACAAGCTTCAGTAGAAAATAAACAGACGGGAGTATTAAAAGGTGATTGTAGAGTATTGTGGCATCTGTCTTCAGGAGTGGGGAATCTCTGGCAGTGGAACTTCTCTGTAGAAGTTTTAAAATAACACATTTTTAATGGCATTCTTTTCAGAAATTGGTATCTGTATGTTGTATTTTAAATCCTAATTATGGGTTTACATCTTCTGAAGTTGTTCTCTGTGTCGGCTTGCTTGGTAAAGGGTAGGATCTGTTCCAGAAAGGAAAGTGCAATGACAAACTCAATGTAAAGAAAAAAAAGATTATTATCAACTGACTGTCTTAGTTTAACCTACAGCCGGTTCCCACGAAAATAGTTGCACCAGGGATGACTTTAGCCCATTGTGGTTCTGAAAAATAGCACAATGCCACTCAAGGTCTTGCTTGTTTAAATGGTGTAATAGGAAATGTATACTGGTTGGCTTTTTCATTTTTTCCCCAGAATCAAAATTATCACATGCTAAGGAATCTGTTTCCTATTACATTTTGTAAAGGGCCTAAAACATTAGTGGGACATTGGGATCTTTTTTCAAAATGTATTCAATATTTTTTTTTCAAAATATGTTGAGAAAATAACAAATCTAAAAGATAGGAAGAGGGCAATAAAGAAGGAACTGAAACAGGACAACTTCTTGCACAATATAGTAAACATCTGGAATCGGTGAATAGTTGGGGGTAATTGAAGTGATGGAAACTAAATGAGTTCAAGAGACACCTAGATTCATTGATGGAGAAGAAGGGTTGTTGAGTGGCCTGTCATAAAAGCAGGGAAGTGTTTTTGAGACAGAGTTGTTGGTCTCCTCTCCTGAATGTCTTGTGTTCTTCCAGTCAGATGACGACAGCATTATGAAACCGCTCTCTTTTCTTTTCAGTCAGCAGTGCAGGCTTGTTTTGTGCCATTGTTTTGGTTGTTGTCATGATGTTTTGTTCGCATGATATTTTGCTTTACTCTTAACCACTGGAAAAGTTAGATCTTAAAGATACTTTATCAAAATCTCATTGTGGTGGTTGACATTGGGAATGTGTTTGTGGAATACCAAAGAAATTAAATTACATTCTAGTCTTTCAAAGTCTGGATGGTTCTGGGGACTGATAATGAGGCACAGATTGTCTTAGCCAGAGATTACAGGTTCAGAGCCCTTGCAGTGACTTAGGCTCAATTAGGTGAGACTGTTTGAGCCAAGTTTTGGCAACGTGTGAAAGGAGATTGACAGGTGTCCACATAATGTAAAACACGTTGCCGCATGGTGCTCCATGCCCTCTTCCGTTGGCTGTCTCTGCAAGGATCTTTTTGGGAGAGATATCTTTTTCTGAAGTAACTGTATAGTTGGGAGTGAAGTTTGTCAAACTTTTGGGCATACACTGACCTTCCTCAGATCTTGAAAGACAGTGCGTGCCCAAAAGCTTGTCAAACTTCCCTCCCAACTATCAAGTCGGTCCAAGAAAATATATCCAAGAAATCCCTCTCAGCGACACTCTAACTCTACTGGAGAGAGACTTGCTGTGCAGGTGGTCCCTCCAGGTTAGGGTCAAGGTCCACAGACAAGTGGCAGATCACCCTTCTGCTGGTCACAGTCCTCCTGGGCTACTGACAGCATGTCAGACACCAGAGCTGCCAGTCCTGAACTTTTCTGAGTACTCCACTTAACACACCCAGACTTTGAAAAGAGTAAAAAGCATATATGAGATTTTGTTGCTGGTAGGGAGTTATCAGACTCCCACTTTGTGGTTGGTAACTTCCTGGATACACATTCTTTGAGGATGTATCCAATCTAGCATTTTCCTGTAGGACCTCTTGCTGCAGTAATGAAGTATTCAGATGCTTTCTATGGACAGTTACTATGCCACATTCAGGTTTTGAAGTCCATTTAGTGCCCTAAGTGTCCAAGGATATCTTTTACTAGTTGAGAAGATTCACTGCTGTCCTTACAGCCTTCTCGATTGTAACCCAGGCTTCAGGGAAAACAAAGCCCAAGCGCCTTCACACTTCATACAGGTTAGAAGTTTGTCTCCCTTTCTTTAAAAAAAAAAAGAAAAGTTTCCATCAATATGAGCTGTAAAATTATATAAGTCTCCATGCGTGCGCACAGGGGGAAATGTTGTGTCTGCTGGTATCTGTTTTTGGCTGGGGATTATGGCCATTTTCTGTGGTTGGTGAGCAGTTTTGCCTGTGATGTAATGGCTGTAGAGGTGCCGTCCTCCCTTTCCGCCTGTAGGAGTCGTGGTAACGAGCCATTCTGCAACACAGACGCACACGCACACTCGCAGTATGTTGCCCTTCCCCCACCCCTTTTCACAGTGCTGCTCCCTGAGGCAAATTTCTTGCTGTCTGGAGTATCAAACATGCACGGGCGCTTTCCTTTTTTTCTCCCTCCCTCTCTCTTTTGGGGGGATTTTCCTGCATAGTTATTACAGAGCAGCAATAGCTGAAAAGACAATTTCACCGTGGCTCTGTTCTCCAGTGGTAAGCAGTCACATGTGTGTAGAATAAATAAATAAACCCATAGCTTATGGTTAAGAGAGGCCAGGGATTTTTGGTTTTTCCCCCCTCCCCCCCCCCCTTTTTTTGAAGTGCCTTTACTCGGCATTCACATTTTTTTTTCCTGTGGTAAAAATGCAACATGAGCAGATGGCAAGTATTAACACAAAATACAGTGCCTGCTAGAAGTTGATTTAACAATGCTCTAGGTTTCTGTCACTGGCTTTCAGTTAGTTAAGTAGTGTTTACAAGTTAATGAATTTGTTCCACT